TTTAAACATATTCAATCTTTAAATTTAATAAAAAAATTAACTTACAAATGAATTAATAAATTTCATATAAAGTGATGAAACTTTTGAAATGCTTGGTGGAGTTTTTAATTTAAAATTAAGCATTTTAAATTTAAAATTAAATTATAAAAATTATTTAATATTTAAATATTTTATTTAAATATTAAAAAAATGCAAAAGTTGAACTGGTCGGTTCAAGGTAATTGTGATTGGTTTTGGTTGAACTGGCGGTTTTGTCTGCTTTTGATCGGTTTGATGTAGAAGCGGTTTTTAGCATGAATCAGATCGGCCATAAGACCAGTTCACGATTGAACCTTTCGGACCGGCTGGTTCGATTTGGTTTTTAAAGTCACTTTGGCATCTTTTCCTTTTTAGGATGTCTCCTTTAGACAGTTTTCCCTATCTTTTTTAATTAGTAGCTACATGTTTAACAGTCATATTGGATAGAATTTTTTGGGATGTCCGTGACTCGCATGCTGCTTTGTTGGTTGGCCATTATTCTTTCCAATATTGTAGTTGATTTACTTTTGCCGCATTTGATCTTTCTTTGAGCCCAACTGTTTCATTGAAGGCTTTTATTTTTCCTCATTGATTCTAAATATTTATATACAATATTTCTTGGCTTTTTTTTCTTATTAAGAAAATTGGTATTAATGTCTGTATTTGTTATCTTTTTGCTCCCCCATTTTGTATGCATGTACCCAATCTTCATAAGTGTTATATTCATCTTCCATATCTTCTGATTGTTCATAGCAATTTTTTCTTTTATATCGTACTCATATCTACTTTAGATTTTTTGCTTGTATATGATTTTCATCCAATAGTCTCACTTTAGAAGTATCATATGCTAATCATCCATTTTCTTATTTATTATAGGTTAAGTTGAATTTCTATAAGTAATTTAAGGTTTTATTGAATGCTTTATATCTATCCCCAAAGATGTAATTGGTAACTCAAGAAGACCTGGAAAATTTGGGGAGGCGGTTGTATATGGAAAGAATAGCTAAAAAAAGGTTTTTCATCTTCTTCTCAAGTCACGACGAAAGTTGAGAATTAATTTTTCGCAATTTACCTTTTTTCTATTGTAATTTATCTTTTCAATTTTTTTTTTATATTTCTTTATCTTAAAAGTTCATAATACTAAAAGCTTTTCTTTTGAGATATATGATCCATTGATTATATGATATTAGTTGTAATTTTATAGAAGAGGGGAAATATTTTCTATTTAATAATTTGCAGGCTTTCTAAAGCTATCATCTATTTAATCTCCCCCAATTAAATTATTTATGCCATTTAAATTAGTCGGGAGCCATTGATTCTCTTTGAGAAGCGGGGAATGTGAAGGCTGATTGGGCTCTTCTAAATATAATTAAATCTTAGCATCTCCCTGTGGTTCTATTTTTTAAGATGTATTTAACAATCAAGTGTGAAATTTACATGGTTCATAAATAGTTCATCTATAGCATGTTTTTTTTTTTTTGTTTTTTTGAATGGCTGACTAAATTTTATAATGGATGCCTTCTTGAGAAGATTGGCATGCCCGACTCCTATTGCTCAATGTTCTGAGGATTTTTTTTTTCATCCCAGTTCTTAAGCAATTACTTAAATGGAATTTATGTAATAGTTTCTACTGCTGGAACTAATGATGGATGTATTACAACATGCCATTCCTTTGTATAGATTTTTACAAATTTAGAGAATTTGTTATTTTGCATCATTGGGTGGATAATATGAATGCAGCTTATATGTTGAGTGACAGACTTCATTTACAAAGGTATTCTTTTAGTTTTCTTAACTATGTTGCATGATTTGAAACTTCAATAAGTTCATAGAATGCTTGTTTTTTTTTTTAAGGAAAAGGCCATTTTATCTTGCATTTATCTTCTTTAACTTGCTATTAAAGCAGTATGCTGCTATGCTTAATTTAGAGAAATTGTAGGTCTTTTTTTTTTTTCTTTGCATCTAGGGAGAGCTAGGATTCTATTTAGCTCATCAACTAATGCATAAAGTGTTAAGCATTCCTAGAGCCATAATTCATCGGTATGACAAACTATGAGGAGTACAATGATCCTTGTCGTCATATTTAGTTATATTTAATAACATTTTTAACTTCAAGCATTAAGATTGATAATGTTTCATGCTTGTAATCCTGTATTCCATGCAGCCTTTTATACACTTTCTTAAAAGACTATTGGATTGTAAAGAGAAAGAGGTTCAAATTATGGAATATGCTAAAAAGGCAATTCAACTGAAAAGGACTTCCGAATGTGACTAAAAAAATTTTTGCAATATAACATTCTATGGCATGAACATCAAAGTTATTTCCCTAGCATTTTGCGTATATTTTATTTAAATTCCTATTCAGATCCCTATGAAATCACTCTCAGATTTTCAGAAATATTATCTTCACATAGGCAACAAATTTATACTATATGAGTTAGAATATGAGTTTGAGCTTGGTAATTGGGCTGCAAATTTGAGCTGGTTGGACTACAAATTTGGGTTGATTCCTCTATGAATATGGTGCAAAGTTTTTTAATTTACATTATAAATTTATGTAGTATAAATTTGTTTTGATGTATATTATAAGAATGAATAATATAAATTTTTAATATTATAAATTGATATATTATATTAGTATTCTTATTATAAATTATTATAATGTATATTAAAAAATCTCATTTATTATCACTATAATTAAATTATTAGATATTCATAAATATAACATAATTAAATATATGTCTAATAATTTAATTTTAATATATAATTATATTCATCATTCAATTTAGGGTATATTGTATTTCTTTTTTTTTTACTAGGTAAGATCAATTGCTCTTAGATTTTTTTAATGATGTATTTTTAGTGAGCTTTTGTTCTTTTGAAGACTTGTAACCTATTGACAAAGCTCAACCAAACCGGATGCTTAGAGTTAGCGTAGGTTGACAGAAGCCTACTTACAGATGAAAAATATAGCCACGCCTTATGATTGAAACTTCGGTGGGGCTGAAAAGGTTCCCCCTTTTTTTAACATTTTCAAGTCCCATTAGCATTAAAAAAAAATTAATGAATGATAAATGAAAAGAAATATGACTTTATCTTAATTTTTTTGTTAAGATATAATTAGAAAGGGAAGAAGTCAAATAGAAAATTCTAAGAATTTTCTCTTTCCAATCAAATTTATGTAAAATATGATAAGATTTAGGTTTCATTTGGGATGACTTTCTTATTGTTTCTTAAAACAATTTTTTATAGAAAAGTTAAAAATTTTGCATTAAAAAATTGCTATAAGAAATAGAAAGAAAGCTGTCCCAAATGAAATCTTAATGATTAATTGATCAAAAAATAATAGAATGCATCACGTGATTATATATCTTCTCTTTAGATGTCATTGTTAATTAACTAGTGCTTCGCTTTCCTCCAACAAGTATTCCTTTTTCATGGTATCAAAGACTCAAAGCCATAATTTTTTTCAATTGGACGCACAAATTAATTATTTTATCAATATTTCTTTAATGGTTATTTATAATTTTAAATTCTAAAAATTTTAGATGATACATAAATTATTTTTTTAATAAAATTATTTACATATAATTAAAATATATGATATATAAAAACATAAAAATTATTTCGTGTGAGAGCATTGGCCCGCTCATCCCCCCTAAATTCGCCCTTCTATTTTACCATTAGAGTTTAATGTATTTGTAACATATCAAACTATATTACTGATCATATTAAGTACAAAGTTTGCATAGGACAATTTGGAAAGGGCTTCAATGTCAACGCCTGAGGCCCCACTTGAGCTGGACATTAGAATATATAATGAAAATTAATGAGTAGGTGCTACATCTCAATCTAATAATGTTGTAGTTAACAAAAGCTTATAGTAATATTCCGAAGATGCTATCCTACTATGACAATCACTACTAAATATTATTTCTTCAGCATCATCGATTGGCCTATCTAGCTTTTGGAAACTTGGAGTTTTCCTAATGAGATGTGTGATGGATAAGGAGAAGTAACTTGTTGATCATGTTGATTTGTGTGCTAGATGATAAGTTTTATGTGTTTATTATTGAAGAGAAATGAAGAACAAGGGCCATATAGGATTGAGATTTGTATAATAAGGCTTCGATTGGGACACTTTAGACTGTTGTTTTTTCTCCTATTTTAAGAAAATTTAGTACAAAAAATAGCTTTATAAAACGGTAAAAAAGTCGTCACGAACGAAGCCTAATTATGGATGAAAATGCACATAATGATGACATAAGTGTCATGGTTTTGAGTTGGATCGAGCAAGTTCGGACCAAAATTTTTGTGAAAGAGCTCCGTTGCGAAGAAAGATGACAGTTTATCTCTTGATAAGAAGCATCTTATAGATTGATGATAGAAATATTATATGAATGATAAACTATATTTAAAGTTTGCTCTTATTTATGAGTTGTATTATGAAAAGACAAAGCTCAGCATCTAAATTTAATTTAATATAATTTTAAACCATTTCGAAATAGGTAATTGACTGGCCTCATATAATGAGATAAAGACTTGATGTTGTTGTCATTGTAGCTATAATGTTCAATTTACTAACTGAACACGAACAATTTCTACAGTAATATAATTTGTATTAGAATTTCTTAAATAGTTCGAGATATTAAAATACTTATTATTTATTTACTTATTTAATAATGGGAGAAGAGAGATACTTGATAAAATAGTAGAAAAGGTCAAGTTATGTTGAACAGAGTTGCTTCAAAATTAATGCCAATCAAATTAAACTGTTTTAGCGTCAAAGCATGCTTTGAAATCCATATAAACGACAAGCTAATACTCGATTTGAGAGTACAATATTACTTGTAAGCCATATTAGCCTACCTATATGTGAAGTACGTTTCAAAAATTTCAGATTGATAATCAAAATTCTAACCTCTAACAATAAATGTCATCATTCCCCCTTCATTATTACGAAATTAAGCACATTTTAATGGTTTTCATCAACACATATAAAGTTATCTTCATTTGATATTTTATTATTTCATAAAATTTGGATGCAATTAAACTTTATTTTTCATGACTACATTAACTGTCCCACATGCGTCAATTATATAACAAATATGACGAAACCTATTCATTCTAGCTACAACCATTAGCCCCAAAGCCAATTTTTAAGTTCCCCACATCATACACTACATTGAACCTGCGTTGTTGCACATTACCAATGATCACAATATCACTAGCATCATTATTTCCAGCGAAGGCTAAGCACGCTTGAGATATACTTGCCACATAAAGTATCCCCGTGAAATCTACATTAGCAGTCACTCCGCCATCAAAGAGCAACGCAATTGATGGCACCTTCACCGTCTGGTAGTTAGTGAAGTCATAGCATGTGTCGAGTATGGACAGTGCTGGCGCCGTCGGGTAATTGGTCATGTACTGCCGGAAACTGCTGCGGAGGGCAGAGTAGGCAGTAGGTGGCAATCGACTAATCACTGTGCCGGAGTCCAACAAGGTTCCAGGGGAGCTGAACACTGTGGGTGAAAGAGCGAGCCTTTGACCCCCAACAGAGATGGCAACGAGCTTGAGGAAGTAGAAGGATGGCAGATTTGGGTTGGTTAACATCGGTGTATACTGAACACTAGTGGCGGAGCTACCAAGTGCGAGATATCCAGCATAGCTGGACTTTGATGGTATACAATATGAGAATACCTTGCCATACAATTGAGCTGTTTGGGAAATAATTGAAACGGGTTCCCGGCCGAGGCCTAATAACCCATCTGACTTCCCGAATAGGCCACTGTTGTCATGGCCGCAGCCGTAGCGGAAGTTGGGTATATTATCAGAGGAGAATGTTAAGGTGTCTTGAATGAGGGAGCCTTGAGTTTGAGAATTGTCACCGTATTGTACCTGGTAGAGACATGTAGAGGTAGACGAGCAACTTGATTGATCGAGTTGTGTACAATAGTTGGAGTTGCAAGAGATGTTGGTGAAGGTAGAGGATTGGGTTGGGTCATAAATAGGGTCTTTTTGGGTGTAGCAGTTATCGCAAGGAACACATTGGGTCCAAGTGAGATCGCTGCCGGTGTCGAACACAACTGAAAAGGACTTGCTAGGGGTGCCTAGGCCTATGTTGACGATATAGTTGCCCGTACCAAGAGCAGCGCCGGTGTTTGCCGGAACTCTTGCGGAAAGAGAATCGCCAACAGGGTTGAGGCTGGCAGCATTGGTGGCGGCCCGACGGTTGATGGAGTCGACACGAGATTGGTCCTGCTGGAGGAGCTCCACATGGGACGGATTGTCCTGACGTGCCAAGGATGAGCACGGGCCATGCCGGTGGACCAACTTGAGCTTGGAAGCTCTCGTGCCTGTCAGAATTGGCACGGCTTGTTAATGCATTGATTGGAATTTACAAATATGTGGCCAAAAAGGAATATTTGGCTTTTTGCTATCTATCAAATGAGCTTAATCGCTGCATATTTGTTATTATTTTAATTAATTTACAAAAAAAAAAAAGTCTCAAACAGCGCATTAAGAAATTGCTAACAAACCTTTATCGGGCACAGAGCAGTTGCTGCTCGGCAGCAGTGACTTGACGTCGATGATATGGTGTTCTCCGACAAGCCCTCGTGCTGATACCAGAGAAATCTTCTCTACTAGCAGCAAAAAGAAGAAGAGATTGAGGAATATATAAAAGATGAGCAGAGAAGAAGAAGAAGACGCCATTAGAATAGACCTTCGAAGCTCTGCTTTGGAAGACTTGAAGGAGTAAGTAAAGTGCAGGTGGGGCTTTATAGGCGTGGATCATTGCGCATAACGCGGTTATTAGGAATTTAGTTTAGGAGATAAATCATTGCTTTAAGAGAAGGTCAAGTCACTGATGAAGAGGACGATTGGGGGTTTTGGCCGCCGGGCCCATTGCGTGCAAAATTATTGAGCCAAGGCCTGACGAGAGAGGCTGTTCACACGGAGAACTGCAGTGGGAATATAGTAGGAAACAGCACTTCTATTGTTTGGCCTTGTTCTTATATTACCAACTTGCTGATTTTTTTCTTAAGCTTTAAGTTTGATTTGAAGTTATTAATTAGTTGCATCCCTATCAATCTAAATTTATTGAAAGGTGCTGGCCGTCGGATTGTGCCCGGTGCTTGATCAAGTATAAATATATCAGCTAATAATGCGTGTTGAAAAGTTGCTAAATGCTTGCAGCTTTCCCACGGAACAGCTCGTTATTGTTAGAAGAAAAAAAAATGATAATATTCTGAGAATTTAGTTTAGGGCATAAAGATTGTTATTAGCTAATTAAAGGATTTTAAATTGAATAATTAGAGTTTGTTTTCTTTATTCTAATGAACAATAATCAAGATAAAAAAATGGATAAATTATATTAAGTTTAGTTTGGAAAAGTTTTTTCATTATTTTTTAAAACTAATGAAGATAAAATAACATTTTAAAGCTAATGCGTGACTAAAAACCGGCTTCATTGAGCATAAATTTGGAGTCATATCTCAATTTGATACTTTCAAAATTAAATTTAAGATTATCTCAACTCGGATCTAAAGAAATTTATAGTCAAATTGAGCGACTTAAATGCTCAAGATTACTTAATTCTGATATCATTAAGCCACTTAAATGTTGAACGAATGCTTTATAATTGATGGTATCAATACGACCCGTCTGATAGAGCACTCTGAATTTGACTCAGATCTTTTACATATTTATAGAGCATGTCATTCTCAAAATCTATAAATAAACCACTACTCTTTGAATGAGGGGACCTTTGGGGGTCTTAGAAATTGGACTAGATATTCAAGAGAGCAATGAAGCTTGGAGAATCTTAGAGCTCCACCTAAGCACGGCTACTGGCAAACCCATGTGAAGTTGTGACTTGGACCACTATAGGCATTATTATACATGTGATCAAGTAGAAGAAATCTCTAATGGGGAGTACGTATTCACCAACAAGTGTTAGTAAACATAAAAATGATATAATTTGACGTACTCAAAAGCAACTCACCAACCTATATGACCCCCCAGACGCTTATTAGAATTGGTCGTCTAGAGCCAACAACATGACTACTCGTTTGAGCTCAACTATCCCGTGTGAAGTCGGTCAACAACTTCATGCAAGTCTGCCCTATAATTGAAATGCATATATAATATAATATATTTAAATGAATATATATAATTAGCATTGATTTATTTTGTTACAGATCTTCATTAGACCATATTCTATAATTTATGCATTTTTCTTAAGTATAATTTTGTCCCATAGAGCTATATATGTCTCTAACCCCACGTAAAAATAGTGGATTAGAGGACAAACATAAAGCACGCCAAATTATAACCTCAAAGCTTTTGTTATAGCCATACAAAATCACTTTGCCCATAAGCTAAGGCTTCATTTTGGGAGCAATTATTACATCCGGTGTCTGAATGTGTTCAAAGACCAATAACCATGCGCCACATCAACTAAAACATTCGAACCGTTCGGTTTTTGACCGGATGTAATAATTTCTCTCATTTTGGGTGGTTTTATTACTACTTCTTAAAGTAAATTTTTAGTATAAAAATTAAAATATTTGTACTAAAAAACTGCTTTAAGAAGCAGTAAGAAAGTCATCCCACAAAGCCTAAATCTTTTTAAAATAAAAAAATTTGAATTTCTCCAGGATTTAACAACTCAAATGGAAAAAAAAAAAAAAGAACAGCAACCATAAGCTAAAAACAACCATAAGTTTATTTCATAACTCAGACGATTAACGAAAGCAGTATGAGGTAGGTGTGGCGATGTTTCATTGCTTAACTAATTTAATTGTTTTTAAAAAAACAAGTGGTTTATCATTTAATTAGGTTATCTTATTGAGGAGATTATAATTATAAAGTAATTAGGTGGTTCAAGTGGTGATATAATTAAAAGTGGCTGTGTCATGGCATTATCTCCAAGTCGTTTAATGACAGATTTGGTCAAAATATGAGCACTCCACCAAGGCACCAACCTAACCGGAGAGAGGCTAAAAGTTAGTGGAGGTTGACTGAAGACTAACTGAAAAGATGTAAAATATAGGTTTAGTTTGGGATGACTTTTCTATTATTTTTTAAAGTAGTTTTTGAGTGCAAAATTTTTAACTTTTATACGAAAAAATTCTTTTAAGAAGCAATAAGAAAGCCGTCTCAAACGAAATCATAGTCGAGTATTATGCTTGAGTCTTTAGTGGGGTTGAAAAGTTCTCCTTTTATCAGTTTAGAGTCTCATTGGCATGAAAAAAAAAATTAAGGAATAATAAGTAAAAAGAAATGTGACTTTATCTTAATTTTGGTTTAGATATAATTAGAAAGGGAAGAAGTCAAACTGAAAATTTTGAGGTTTTTCTCTTATTTTCCCATCAAATTTATGTAAAATATGATGAGATTTAATAAAAGGTGACATAATAATAACATCAATAATATAATAGGACAAATTTTCTAAATAAAAAGGGTTAAAAAAATTTTCATTAAAAAAAGCGGAAAAAAAATTTAAGAAATGTCAGTCGTTTGCCTGAGCAACGTCTGGCTCTAGGCAAATTATTCTGTGCAGATGTCGAACATCTTTCAGAGACCAATCAGAATGCGACATGTAACTGAGGCTAGGTACGTACCGCTCGATAATGCACTCAATACCGTGCTCGATACTGCTGACATAACACATTCTAGTTGGTCTCCGGACGATGAATTGAGTTCGGCGTCCGCACGCATAAAATAATTTCCCCTGGCTCTGACGTAGAGTTATGATATGGACGAGCTGAACGTGGCGATGAGCTAGACGAGTTGGGCGTGGTGAGGACCCGAGATGGTCGGGTGCAAGTCGTTCACTTACCAAATGGCTCGGCAGTGCAAATTTTTTTTAATTTAAACTAAAACTAAGGCATGAATAATTTAATTAAAGTAACTTAACTCATAATTTAAGTGGGATATAACTTAGGAAAATAATTAAATTTAAATTAATTTAGTAATAATTACATTTGTTAGATTAATATCTAAATAATTATAGTAATTTGAAATTAATTTATGAAAAAAGTTATAAATTACTTTAAAATAAGTAGTTGAACTATATGATGATGCAGTCAAAATTCATTTTTAATAACACATGGAATAAAATAAAAATTATAATATGTTTTAATTGATTTATATAATATTAATTGAGAGATAGTAAAAAATTTTAATTTCTAAATTAAGAAGAAATTATCTTAAAATTAATTGAAATTTCTTAATAACAAGAGTAATTTTTTAAATATAATTTACTTTTTTTAATAGTTTAAAGAATTTGAAGAATATAATTATCTATTAATTCGAAGCTTCTATATTATTGGCTAGTAATATATAAAGTAAATGTGTCATTAACTAAGTCATTATACATAGTATAAGGTTCTATAGTTTTTAGCTGTGAAGTTAATAAACAAACCTATTTTATTATGTGAGATGTATAATATTAATAATTTCACTGATGTGAATATCAATTTCAGTTTACATCAGTGATTTCTTTAAGCTTTGTTATATAAGTGTTGCATCTACAACTGAAGTGGACCTTTGAGAGCAATTCCTCATAATGATTAATTTTCTTTCAAAACCTTTTCTTTTTTAGAATTTTATTTTTTCTCTCCATAATATTTATTAGTCGAGTTTAGAGAAGGCTTGAGGCAACCCCATGAAATAATTGTTGGATAATACAAGCGCACGAATGGAGAAGTGTATGGCACGGTCTTTTGACAGTCTGCTAGAGCTAAAGATGAAGGTAAATGAAGTTTTTGAGTGTTGCATGCATGCGTGGACAGATGATAGGATTATTTTCTTTGACATTTGCATATTAAATCTATGAGGATAGATGTCAATAGGACAAGAGATTATCAAAATGGTCTAGGTTGGAAATTTGTGGAACATAAGTTTTTGGAACTATTTCGGCATCTAGTTGGTGTTAACTTTCTTCACATACGGTATAATGATGTACGATGTGAAAGAGAATGTGTTACTTTGGTTGATGTTCAACGGACATTATTTGCTTCTATACCAAGATACGTTTGATTCATACTCAACTACAACGAGCACCAAAAGAAATAAGACCATTATTTGTATCTATACCAACTACATATAGCAAAGTACTGCGATATTTCCCGAGGAAAAAAGTATTGTAAACGCTAAAGTTGGGTCGACAATAGGCCCATCCAAAAATATAGGGATCGAATGCCCAGAAAATTCTTTCAAATCTATGTGTATACGTGTACTTTAATCTATGAACATTTTCAGACATACAGGAGACTATTGCTTCCATCAATAGGTTAACAATTCAATAAAATTCATCACAACTATCAAAAATAGATTTAATTGTTTTCCTTCTAGCATCTCATGCCTTCACATGCGATAATCAAATGTTAAACTTTGATTCAATATGACCTATGATTTCATGTGACTTTAGATCAATCTACTGCATGCCTTACAACAGGCTGGATAAGATAACTTATGAATTTGGAGTTGCACTACCTATGACCAGCCAAAAGAATAGGTTTCGTGCTTGTATGACCATACCGAGCTAATGACACCTTCCATGCACCACCCAATCGCTTGCTAGAGCTTGCATGTAGATGCCATTTGCAAGGTCTAACTATAGCTCCATAATGCACTCAACTTATCATTTATTTTTGCCTTTTCGATAAAATATATAACTTGAAATTCAATATTATTGACGATTGACTAATTATACATGGCAAACGGTTAGTCTCTTTTGCATGCAAAACACATGC